TGTCCGCTCCTTCTTCAGCCTTTGCTTGCTCCGTGAGATGAGCCTGGGGCCTCTGTTGTCTACCACGTGTTCCCCACTCACTGCTTGGAGGTTTACCATTCAACTTCTAGCAATTTTCCTTGGTATGCCTCGACTTCTTGCAGTAGGTGCACCACAGATTATCTTTATTTTCCCTTCTCTGGTTCTCCCTTCCTGAATTCCTTGGCTGGTCATCCTTATTCTTCTCCTGATGTTCTGATGTAGTCACCCCCTTCCATACCACTCGGTTTTTCTAGCATCACATTCCTTCGGCTCTCCTCTCCTCGAATAATTGAGATGGCCTCTTCCAGTGAAGGAACATCCTCCTTACTGAGTATTTGTAACCGAACTTGATCAAATTCAGAATTTAATCCAGCCAAAAAATCATACACCCTATCACCTTCAATGTATTTCTTGAGGAATTGCTGCATCATCCGGGCACTTCATTTCGAACACTCAGTAGTGGTCCAATTCCTGCCACATCATCTGCAGAAAATTGGCATACTCTGTGACAGCCATGTCTCCTTGTTTCATTCCATTTGTCTTGATCTTTATCTCATAAACCTGGGCTGCATCACGTGCTTTCGAGTAGGTACGTTGGATATACTCCCATATCCCCTTCGCACTAGCCAGAAACATACAAGTATCACTAATGGCTGGTTCCATTGAATCCCACAGCCATGACATAATCATCGAATCCTCCTCATCCCATGCCACAAATCCAGGGTCTGTTTTTGCTGGTCCAGTCCCAAGCAGATGGCTGATTTTTCCCTTTCCTTTGAGGTATGTGCGAACAACTTGGGACCACTTGAGATAGTTTCTCCCGTTGAGTCGATAAGACGCTCTAATATTCTGCAAGTCTCCGGTTTTCTGGGCAGGAGAAGCCTCCTCAGTAGTCCCGGAAGTGTTGGTGGCCTTGGAATCGGACATAATTGAATGAAGGGAAAAAAAAAATTGGATTTCAAGGAGAGGATAATGCAGTAATGGCCGGCAGCAATGAAGGCACTTGGCAGCGACGGCAGCAATGAAGGCTCCTTGGCAGCGACGGCAGCGATGAAGGCTCCTTGGCGGCTACTTGGCGGCGTAAAACCCTAGAGAATCGTCCTAGGGCTGTGATACCATGTTGCAAACTAGGGATTGGAAAATATCTTTGTATTTCCGTATATTGAATAATTACATTGCTAGGTATTTATAGAATTTACATAGAGAGAAAATAGGAAAGAATATCTACCACAATCCCTGAAAATCAGGGATTGTTAAAACTAATTTTCCTAATTGATTTTCAGGGATTGTTAAAACTAATTTTCCTAATTGGTTTCCTGCCTAAAATACCTCTCGACACTTCCTTTTTTTTTTATATATTCTTTTTCATCCTAGTCCTTTGACCTCTTTTCCTAAAATCTTCACTACTTAAATGTGTTTCTCTAAAATATATTTTTCCTCTAATTTTCTCTTACCAAAATCATTTTTTCCAAAGACAGCTCAATTTACACATTTTTAAAAGGGAAACCATATTTTTCTTTTATAATCCTCTAAAATATTATTAGGACAATTAATATTCTTTATAATAAATTTTCTTTTATGGTCTTGTGGGGCATCCTCCCATCTGACTTTTACTTCTGTGCTTTTGCTCGACTTATTTTAAGTAGTTTAGTAAATTGTGATGAGTATAACTTCTTTTCTTTTTCTTTTTTTCTTTTTGTGTTGTTTAGTTCTTTTCCAGTCTATGTTGGTTGTTTTTCACATACTCGTATGAGTGTGTACAAAACTAACCAGTATTGATATTTTGCACTTAATATTAAATTGCCTTTAATATGTCTATCTGTTAACGGATTTTCAGATTTTTTTATTAACTTTTAAATTTTTAACATGCTTATTGCAGATTTTGGGAAGGATATTTTGACTATCTTATGGAGCGGGCCTCAAACAAGTAAAGATCCTATTGAATATAAGTTCAGCTATTAATTTACTTTAATTTCTTTTTTTTTTTTCCCTGTTTGGTAGCTATTAAAATCACTCTTTTCTATCGGTGTTATAGGCAGAAATAGTTCTCATAATTTGATGAAAAAGAAAAGTGAAACTTCTCTGCAACATGCATCTTTTGCTAACTAATTTTCTGTTCTCTTTATTTGTCAGGTCAACTAATTATGCATCTTTGGTGACAGCACAGCTGATAGTTTTGGCGTCACACATGGTAAGGTTTATTGTTGCTGCTAGGACCTCCAAATCATGCAAGCCTATGTTCAAATCACCCTCTCTCCAGATGAGGGCTTGCTTTGCCCAACCATTAAAGGAAACTACTCCCGCTACTGCTTGCTCTTTTTTTATTTATTTATTTATTTATTTTTTGGGCACGTATTCCCTAGATTTGACAATTTGTTATTTTTCATGAAGGCTGGATTGGGACTACCAGATACTGACGCTTGGTACATGATTGAAACAATAGCGGAGAAAAACAACATTGGTTACAAGCAATTTGTAAGCTAAATTATTCTTCTTTGGTGCTTGATGATCTGGTTCTCAAAATTGTTATCTATGACAAAATTCAGTTTGGTTTCAGCACTCGATCCATTTTTCTGCCAGCCTATATGATTCTCTTTCTAAGATATTTGGTTGTGTACGTGCGTGTGTCTGTGTGTTTCTCATTGTTTATCACGATGTGCTTCTCTTGTGTGATTGATTTGGTGCCCGTTTATGTTTCCTTTTTAGTTTATTTTTGTTTTCTTTTATGTCCTATTTGCTCAGAATCTTCATAATGCCATTCTTTCTTCTCTTGAAGTACATGCTAGTGGTTTATCAAAGTCATAAGTGACAATGTTCCTTGATTGGTCTTCAGATAAAGCTCAGAGGATTTTTGTCTCATATTGAGCAACTTCGTATTGGTTACTGGGGAATCATTTCTACGATGACTCAATCCATTTCTCATGGATTAGCATCCCCACGTTCACCTAAGGATGAGAATCAGCAACCTGCTGAGGCTTCTGTAGTTGGAAGAAGCTGGGGTCAAAGCATGTTCCGCAGGGATACAACATCCAAACCGAATTCTCTCAGTCGTGTTCATAGATGGACTTCTGATAGTGGCTCAGCAGGTAACATTTTTCCCAATGTTACGTTCATGTATTGATGGATTGTACTTTTATGCAATCTAACTATGTATCATCCTGGATTTTTTCTGTTTTTCTTTTCTTTTTTTTTTTCCCTCCAGCTGCGAATGAGAATGGGACTCCTCGCAAGCAAGATTTATTGACTGCTGCGCAAAAGAAAACTCAAACCAGTGTTCGCGTGCTTAGGGGTCACAGTGGTGCTGTCACTGCTCTGCATTGTGTATCGAGAAGAGAAGTTTGGGATCTTGTGGGTGATCGCGAAGATGCAGGTTTCTTTATCAGCGGAAGCACGGATTGCACAGTAAGCCAACATATATCAATGTTTCTTCTGCCTTATATTGTGGAACAGTCCTTGTTGTAACTTACCCTTCACTTGGCGCCTTTACATTGGTGCACCACCCCCTATAGACTTGATAGGAGTAGTTGCTTGCTGGGGCAGGCCACTCTTCATTCTTCACTTGAAACTAATGAATGTGGGGTGTTGGGCCTTGTTTAATATGCATCTATGTATAAAAGGGAGTTGGGTAGTATATATGTATAAAAGGGAGTTGGGTAGATGAAGTTTAAGACGCTAATTTAGCAGTTTCTTGGGGTATTTGGTTAGAAAGGAATAGTAGAATTTTTGAAGAGGGTGGGGAAGATAGCTGTGTTTTATGGGAGAAAATAAAGTATTGGGTTTGTAAGTGGATGCATTGGGATAGAGAGTTTGGCAGGCCAATTTTTTCAGTTTTGATTAGGAGTTGGGCCCCTTTTTGTAGTCCATCTCCGTTCTGGTCGTTTCTTTTTGGGACTGTTTTTCCTAGTTCTTTGCCTTTGCCAATTTTGTTTCTGTTAGGAAAATTCTTCCTCTGTTTGTATCTTATTTCGCTCATCAATACAATTTCTCTTTTTGTTTTTTCCTTTTTCTTAAAAAAAAAAAAAAAACTTTGATATCATTTCAGGTTAAGATCTGGGACCCTAGTCTCCGTGGTTCTGAACTTCGGGCAACTCTGAAAGGGCACACAAGGTCGTTTTCATCACACTTATTGATGTATTTGTTGGGTACACATACAAGTATTTGTCTGGAGCGATCCCTGTACTTGCTTAAATGTAGTTGTTGCTTTGGTTATTGAAAAGTAATAAATGGCCTTAGAATTTAGATTGACGTCTTTTCCCCTGCTTGTTTTGCCTTCATGTGCAGGACCATTCGTGCAATAAGTTCTGATAGAGGAAAGGTGGTATCAGGATCTGATGATCAGTCTATTTTAGTGTGGGACAAACAAACCGCTCAGCTTCTTGAAGAGCTGAAAGGCCATGATGCACAGGTAATTCGTACTCAGCTTGGACTGTTATTTTTGGCATCAAAGTGATCGGACAAAGTACAATATAGAGAGAGTATGCAGAATGGGAAATAAGCTGCAATTTGTGCATAAAGTTCATTAAAAAGAAAGCAGAAATTTGCAAGTATGAAACAAAATTATTTACAAGTTTGATTTTGATGCTTAATTAAACAACTGGAGCCCAGAGAATGGAAGTGGCCAAGGATTTTCCCTTACTAGTCAGTCAGACTTTAAATTCAAACCATCTATGCTAAAAAAAAAAAAAAAAAAAAAAATGTTCTTTGGCCATAAACTTTCTTTTTTCACGAAGTTATGTTGAAAACACCTTCCAAAGAAAATTCCTCATAACTTATTCCACCCCCCACCCCTGTGTGTTCTCTAACGGATACTTTCAAAAAACAGCTGGCAAATATGTGTAACTGTTGGTGAAGATGTTTTTATTGTCCATCCTTGTAGGTGAGCTGTGTACGTATGTTATCAGGTGAACGTGTCCTCACTGCTGCTCATGATGGAACTGTAAAGATGTGGGATGTAAGAACAGATACTTGTGTAGCAACTGTTGGCCGTTGCTCTAGTGCGGTTTTATGCATGGAATATGATGACTCCACTGGAATTTTGGCTGCTGGTGGTAGAGATGCGTATGTATTTTGAAGCTTAAACTCATGCTTGATTTAAAACTAAAAGCATCAAAATATTTTTGAACTTAAATGCCCAAAATATGACATGGTGAGTTTGTGCTTTATCAGAGTTGCAAACATTTGGGACATTCGAGCTGGTAGACAGATGCACAAGCTCTTAGGTCATACAAAATGGATTAGGTGAGTTTAAAAAAAAAAATATCTATGCAATGCACTTACACATAGTCTTGACTGAGCGTTTTGGCGGAAAAACATATTGGTTTGTATGCAGGTCGATTAGAATGGTTGGGGATACAGTCATTACTGGTAGTGATGATTGGACAGCAAGAATGTGGTCCATCTCCCGAGGAACCTGTGATGCTGTTTTGGCATGCCATGCAGGTCCAATATTATCTGTGGAGTATTCTGTGCTGGATAAAGGAATAATTACAGGTACTTCTGTTTTTTTGTTGTGTTTTGTGTTTTGTCTTTAAATGCTCCTTTTATGTGGTAATTTGTTACATCTTTGCATATTTGAATTGTTTAAATCATATTTTTTTTTTCCTTTTCAGGTTCAACTGATGGGCTGCTTCGGTTTTGGGAAAATGACGAGGGTACGAGCATTATTGATCTTTGTACTTTACATTTATCACTATTTGTTCTTGGAAGTTCCATCATTTAAAAGATTCTACCTGGTTTGATCTTTTAGTTTTGATTTGACTTTGTATCATACATCTTTCATTCCTGGAGATTGCTTTAGCAGATGTATAATTAAGAATCATTTATCTTCAAGTCATGGAATAGCCTACATGCCTTGGCAATATCTTTCCTCAAATTTATTTTCCTAAATGTTTAAAGTTGTCAATGTTTAATTACACAGATTTGATGATATGTTTGGGCAAGTTTTGTCTGTGTTTCGTGAATATCTTTCCATGGTTGGTCACAATAAGGAAAGCAAGTACATGTTTACAATTATACATTCGTTCACCTAATTATGAAAACATAAAAGATAGCTTTGCATACTACCATTAACATTGACTTCCAACCATTGATGCAGGAGGCATAAAATGTGTGAAAAACGTTACCATTCATAACGCTCCAATACTATCCATCAATGCCGGAGAACACTGGTTAGGAATTGGTGCTGCTGACAATTCCATGTCTCTCTACCATCGGCCTCAAGAGAGGCTTGGTGGCTTCTCAAGTCCAGGAGCGAAAATGGCTGGGTGGCAACTCTACCGAACACCCCAAAGGACAGTTGCAGTGGTATGGCATTATTTTAGTTTATTGTATATGCACATTCTTTCGTTTTGCCTTTTCATTTTCAAAATTGAGAAAGAAGCTCTATTACATTCCCTGGCAGCACAGACCCCTAAAATTTTGTCTCCACATTTCCAGTTTTGATTAAAATGGTCCGTTAATAATTACTTAAAATTCCCCTGATTTTTACTTCGTGTTAAATGATGGAATGCAGGTGAGATGTATGGCATCTGATCTTGAGAGGAAAAGGGTATGCAGTGGAGGTCGTAACGGACTTCTTAGATTGTGGGAAGCCACCATTAACATCTAAAGTTTTTGCATAATTTATGTTCAAATGTCACACGGGAAATGTTTGTCAATTGCCATGTCAATGATCTCACCTTTTCCCTACTTTATCGTGATTTCATAATTTTGTTTTGAGAAATTTATTTTCTGATCTTCATTCCATAATTTATTTGAGAAATATCCTACAACTTGTAGAATTGTGTAATTTTGGTGAAGCTCAAGTTTGATTTGTTTCGAGGTCGAGAGAAAGTATGATTGTTTTCACTAATTTACCTTAATTTGTATGATTGTTTTTATTATCACTTTCACTAGTTAGTTATTTTCTTTTATTAGTTCCTTTTTTGATTTAATAAATTTGGTGGGAACTTTCGTTTGGGATGGGACCTTTCAGTTGGTGGCAATATTGTTAAATGAGTGTTGCTTGGACCCCAATTCCAATTCTAATTTTTTGATATCGCTTCATGTTAATGTGATAGTGAGTTGTCATGTTTTCATTGTAGATGCAATTTCTTATATTAATTAGTGTGACATTCATTTAAACACCTAAATACAAGAGAATAACAATTCACATCAGTCATACGTAACATCAGTCACATCAGTATACATACATCTTATATATGCACGATTCAAGATTTAGTTTTAATAGTTTTGACGCTTTTATTTGCCGGTCATACAATCAATAATATGATTATAAATAGAACACATATTAATACATGAAATAAATGCATTACTCTTTACTATCTCTTAAAATGTGACAAATTCACTAATGTGTTTATTTCTTAGGGCACCAGATCTAACATAGGGCCTTTTTGATGTACACTTTTAACTTTGCATGTACGCATTACCGCAAGGAGGCAAGGAGCAAAGGGGCTTTTATTTTTTTCTTTGCTTGCAGTTTCAGATTTAATCTTGATCGTTGATCTAATCAGTTGCAATCCAACCAATAGACTTAAATCCCTGTACATACACGTGTTCTTGAAATAGAGCGTTTGGAAATTGATGCATCTATAATAACATGGGAAAAAACAAGAAATGCCATTCAAGATGGGGAAAACATTTATTTCTGTCGCTTCACTAAAAAATAAAAAATAAAAGATTACAATGACACCTAATTATTTAGAATGATATAAATAATAAATCTGCACAGAACCATAACAAATCTTGTATTTTTCTCTAATAACAACTGCGGTAATTCATGTAAAGATATCTTATGACGAAAGGATGTGTCTATTGTAATAGTTATGCCTTATCATCAAAAGAAACGATTTTAGACATAAATAAAGTCCAAAGATATTAGATCAGTTTTATTTTTTATGCAGAAATTCAAGAAGATTGTCATTCACTGGAATTTTGTTGGTTTATGGTATTTTGGAGGTAATTTGTCACAAACATTTGTGTGTGACCCACTAAACCATGATTTCTAATTATGAGCTTATCTAATTTTGTAAGTAAACTCATGATTAAAAGAGACGTGTTTGGAATTGATTCCGTTTTTATTTTTTACGTTTTCGAGAAAAAAAATGAAAACGTTTCTAAAACAGCGTTTGGCGCAATAAAGACAAAAAACAGAAATGAAAACGATTTTTTGGTTAGTGTAAAATGAGAGAGAAAAGTCATTTTTCATTTTTTGTTTTCATTCTCTTCTCTCGAGTGGAAAGAGAAAGAGAGAATTTAATAAGTTTTTTTACACTGAAATCAATCTCTTGATAAAACTATCAAATGCATTTTCAAAAATAATTTATGTCTGAAATTGAAAACGTTTTCATTTTCATTTTTATATAAAAAATAAAATCATTTTAAAATGAGTTTCAAACGCGCCCAATAACTTCTCTCTTTCCCTTTCCCTTTCCCTTTCATGTGAATAAACATACACCCTATAGCAGTTTTGTGTCATTCGCACTGAAAGCAAGTTTGTTCACTCGCATGTCATTTACTGAAATCTTATTCTGCTCATTATAGACAGGTTAATAATGTCTTGTGGAATGAAAATTAAAAAAATAGCGGAAACAATTTGTCTTTCCATTATTATATGAAAGATCAAACGAAATAACTGGAATCATCCAACCCTAAATCACACAAATATGCAAACATTTTTATTTAAATCGTAATAAACTATTTGCGAATCAAGCCATCATTCTCTGATTAATTGGTGGCATCATATTGACTTGTTGTTGCTGGGCAGCCTGCTGCATTCTTGCAACATTACCTTGCCATCCTGTAAATGGAAAGAGAGAAACCCCAATTAATTTAAGTGTGATAATTATTTTCTTTTTTTCTTGTCTTTCTTATATTCCTAACACTATGAAAGAAAAGTCGTTATTTCCCCCGAAAAAACATTAAAAAAAAAAAGTCATTGTTGTATATCCTCTCTCCCCCATTCTATTTTCCTCCTTAATCAAACATGAGATATTTATAATTCAATCATAGCCTTAATTCAATACTACTTAAGACTCAGTCTTTTTTTTTTACGTTTTATTTATTTATTTTTTTTTGAAAGGTTATGTCCCTTACTAATGTTATATATATATATATATATATAATGTTAAAATAACGATAAGAGTAATAGTAGTATTCAATATCACTATTCATATTATTGATGTTATTTATGAATATGTATAAAACTGATTGCAAAGTGAGTTATTTTTGTAAATTACCTATAGAAGGGTCAAGGCCTCTCTTTTTAAGCTCCCCATATTCTTGGCAAATGGCACAAGTCTCGCACAGAAAATGAGTGACCCAGTCGGGTGCTGGGCTTTCAACCAGCCCAAATCTGTTCCTCAGCTTTGCTCGATACGTGCATGACATAATGCAAGGCATTGCTATGAAGAACGCAACCACTCCGTAGAGCAGTCCACTCGTTGCACAAGCTGACATAAAACAAATTAGTCATTTCTGTGTTGACATTTCAAATTAATTAGTCGAATATAATATGTACGACTTTGTTATGAATATATAATGGCCTCGTTCATTTCACCAATTCGAATTTTACTAAAAGCTCTCAGAAACAGTCACATCTAATCTTTTTACTACAGTAAAAGACTCTCACATAAAATCACATCTCAACTCGAATTAAAAACTCGAATTAACGAATTAAACGGAAACTATAAATTGTAACGAAAGACAATCCACTTGCTAAATATTAATGGAGTAAATTAGATTTGGAATAAGTAGTGCATCTATATGTTATTGTCTTTTGCATGTCGTACTATATTCTACATTTATTTTCATTTCATATATTTGGGCATTCAATTTGTACATATAGAATATGTCCAAAGACTTTGCCATGTGTATATATATATATATATATATATATATATATATATTTGTTTTTGGAAGTACTTTGCTACTTTTAATATCACAACTTGGCCGTGTACACGTTATAGCTAAATTAAAAAGAAAAACAGATAATTATATGCAAATCGCAGGTAAAAACAACATCAGGATTTACAGTTAATAATATATTTAGAATAAAAAAAAATACCATTAAAGAAAGATCATAAGAAAAAATCATAATGCTCTTACTTTTACTTATAGAAGTTAAATCTGCAATTATTAGTCGGCCGGTGTTATATTAATATAATCATCATGACGAATATATGGCTTTCGTTCTTATCGTGACAATATTGATAACTTTTTTTATCTGAAAGAAAAGAAAATTTTCATATCTGCAGTATGTTTTACTTACGAGTGCTCCCATTGTCCACAATCTCCGCAACCTGGCCGAACGTAACGCAAGGGCAGAGAGCCGTTATTACAGTTGATATGCGTCAAGACAATTAATCACCAATCAGTTCTTGTAAATCATGCGTGTTTAACTAATAACTAGTGAATGAGAATGTGAACAAAAGCCGAGAAAATACATCATGTTATTATTGTTATTATTATTATTATTATTATTATTATTATTATTATTATGTTTCCGGAAGTTTACAACTTTATTAGCAAACAATAATATGACATATTGATCCTAGAAATGCGACGTTCATTATTCACATTATTTTCTGATACAAGACAGGATCAAATCTGCGACCAGCTCTCTCAAAACCCCTATCCAACAGGTTCCATTGCGCTCAATGTCATTGATCGTTGTGTTAGATTTTTGACACAGCACGAAATTGATATAGATGGACTCATTTACAAAACTAACATAATCTAATAATAATCTAACGATTTAAAAATGCTAGCCATTTCACACTTAACAAGTGAAAAGTTGGTATATCGACTCATGCATATATATTGCGTATCTTTTGACAATACTTTTCTGGACATAAACTTTTAACAATTATAACTTCTCATAAAAGGAGATATAAATGTCAAATAGAAAAAAAAAAAAAAAAAAAAAAATCTTAATATGCAAAACAATTGTGGGTGAAAATTTTAAAAAGATGCAGGGAGATAATTATCACCGTTGGTTGGATCATCCATGCAATCAAACAGGCCAGTTTTCCAATTTTCGGTGGGAACTTGCTGCTGCATCACTATAACTGGCACTTGCCCTTGATTCCGAATGGGGATTCCCGGCGCTGCAGCGCCTTCATTTCTGTAACCGGGCATGGTTCCGAAGCCCGCTGCTCCATTATTATCCGGCGGAAACGTCACCGGTGACGGGCCCCTTTGGAAACCTGCAGGCTGTGGCGAGGCTGCAGCCGGTTGTTGATAGACTGCAGGCTGATGAGGCACAGCTTGCTGATAATGAGCCGGCGAGAATTGCAGGTGTTGGGCCATGTATGCATTGTGGATTGGAACAGGTTGAGACTTTTGGGTTGAAGGTGGGAAATCGGTTGGACGATTCGGCTCATTTCGGAACCCGAAATTGTTGTGTGGCTCGGCGGTCGAGCTTGATACGCCAGGTTGTTACCTTCACAATTCACATCCAGAATTTGATTTTAGCCGCGCATGCATGTTCATAAAAAATTACGCGGGAAAAGGTAAATAGCACAGTTTAGGAGAGAATAAAAATGAATGGCAGAAATTTGGAGATTGTAAAATCCAATTTTTATGTAAATCTAGATTTGTTATACTGTTAAATTACTGAAATTAATTACAGAAACGTGGGGAAAAGTTCAAAAAAAAAATAAAAAAGAATCCAATAAGGAAGAAGAATGAAGGAAGAACGACAAAAATCAGAGAATGAAGGAAGGACAACGAAATCAATGTATTATGAAAACTTCAAAACTGATATCTACTACAAAGCTTAAGCAAATGTTATTTACTTCAAAAAAGATTTAAAAGTATGTTATTTGGGGGGAAAAAAAAGAACTATTATGTGGGGCAAATTAAGAAAATAACATATATATACTTGAGAAATTTAAATTTTCAGAAATTTGAGTGAGCGCGGGGGGCAGGCACATGCCCGGTTACCTTGCGGTGGCGGTGGGAATTGAACCGGTTGTGCCGGCGGAGGTTGGGGTGCTTCCGGCGGCTGAGGTGGCAGTTGCTGGTCCAGTGGCTGTGGTTTGGATTGTTCATGCTGTGGTGGCTCACTTTTTGATGAGTGACGGTTGTCAACGTGTTGTTGGGATTCATCGTGCTTATTTTGTTCATAATAATTTGATGCATGAGAATCATAGACGCCATTACCTCCTTTTTTTCCTGGTTCAAAATTATGGATATTGCTTTGGTCAAGTTCGAAGACAGAAGAGAACGAAGTGTCGTCCATTATAATGATTTGGTCTTCTTTCTTTTGAGGAAGGAAAGAGAGAGAGAGAGAGTAGGGACAGATTAGTGCAATGGACAAATGTAGTGTGTGTGTGTGTGTATATATATATATATAGTACTGCATCTGGCTGGCTACCAAGTCTTAGTATACTAGAGAATAGAAATCGCAGTCGGTGAAAACTGAGACTTCTTATGATGACCTTTGAGAGAGTTGTATTTTGTTGGAGTTTTCTAACGTACTAATTGAACTTCATTTGCTATTGCTATGTACGCGTGGAGAGTAGTTCGTGTGTGAAGTTTTAATTACTGTGTTATTATTAAAATATACAACATTTTAATATAAAATCCTAAAAAAAACCAAAATGAAAAAAAAAAACAATTTTAGGACAAGAAACAAAAAAAAAGGTCAACAAATGACTAAAATGAAGAATAAATAAGTTTGAGGGTAAAACGACCAGAACAGAAAAAAAAAAAAAAAAAAAAAAAAAAAAAAAAAAAAAAAAAAAAGGGTCAAAAAAATACCAAAATAAAGAAATAAATAAGTTTTAACGTAAAAGAACAAAACGGAAAAATAATAAAATTCAGGAAAAAAGGGTCAAAAAAATTACTAAAATGAAGAAATAAATATATTTTAGGGCAAAATGAACCAAAACGAGAAAATGATGAAGTGTTAGGGAAAAAATAAAAAAGGGACCAGGACCAAAACGAAGAAATAAATAAGTTTAAGAACAAAAATAAACAAAACAGGAAAAAAAAAATTTCTAGGACCAAAATAAAAATGGCAAAAAAAGGACTACCAAAAAAAAGAGAAGATAAGCTTTAACGCAAAAGAAACTAAAATGAAATAAAAATAAAATTTTAGGACAAAAAATAAGAAACATGGGTCAAAAAATAAATTGAAAAAATTTATCAGAAAGAAATATTAACATCTGCTAGAAAAAAATCTATAATTTATAATCTATAACACACACACACACATATATATACACACACACATACATGAAAGAGCCAAATTTCCTTTCCATCCACCGCTTGTCAACTCCCATTTTTTTGTGTTATACTTTTTTTTTTTTTATTTCTTTATGCTTATATAATTCTTTTGAAAACTCTTCTACATCAGCATGTTTTTTTTGGGATTTTTTTTTTACACTTTACTCTTATTAAAATAATTTTTTAAGTGTGCATTTACTCAATTTATATTTCATTTTAATTAAAATCTCCCTTATAATATAATTATTTTCCTAGCAAAACTTATGATAGGACCCGCATTTATTTTTTTATCGATAAAAACTAATATTTTAATCATTACATTAGTTTTTTAATAGTCTGATCTGGAGTACGAGCAATTTATGTCGCCCATTGAAAATTTTTAATCTAATCTATACTCTATAATAATCTATTAATCTATCTTTAACATGCATAAAAGAAACAAAAAGACCTTTTTGGTGCATTCTCATCCATTTGTCAAGTGTAAACTCCACCTTTTTTTACTCTTTTTTTTTGTTCCTTGTTTGTTCTTTCTTTTGTTTCCTTTTTATCTTTTTTGCCAAAAGCTACTCAACAATAAAGTTATTGTAATATGCTTTTTTGAAATACAATTTTTTTTCTTATTTTGTTCTTATTAAAATAATATATTTCAAATATGTCCTTAATTCTTTTTCTCACTAAAAGATTTCTCAAAGTTTTATTCCTTTTTGTTTTGATTCTTCAGAATACCTTTTCTTTCTTGATAACTTATATTAAGAGACCTTTTCCAAATGTATTTATACTTATTTTTTTCTATCAAAACAAATACCCTTTTAGTACACCGTCATAAAAGGATCAACTTCTTTTTCGTTTTTTTCCTACTTTTACTTATTCTTTTTTTTTTTTTTAACTTTTCCTTAAGGATTAATTCCAGTGGTGCCCCTTGAACTATAAATTTTTAAAACTCTCATTTTATTCCCTGAATTTTTGAATGTGTCCCATTTAATGCATTTTATAAGAATTTATGTTAAAATCAGACAGAAAAATAAGGGGTTAAATATGGCCTTGTGTTTTTATCTATTTATTTTTAACATAAATTCAAATAGAAAGATTGTGTAATTGCATTACTCTTTTTTTATCTATTTTTAACAAAAATTATAACAAAAGGTGGTTAAGTGGGAACAATTCAAAGTTCAAGGACAAAGTGAGAGTTTTTAAAGTTCTGGGGGCAAACTGAGAATGACCTTAAAGTTCAATGGGTACTAGTGATAATAATTCTACTTTAAAATCTTTAATCTATTTTACATATATTATCTTTACAACATATACTCACATTTTCTCCCGCATATACACATTTTGAGCAAAATACATGTATAGTTGAAATATGCATTGTGATCCTTTTACTTTTATTTATTTATTTATAAATCTTATGTTTTTAAATAACCTTATTAAACTTTTTTCTCAAAACTGCTTTTATGAAAATAAATTTTCTCATATGTGGGATAACCTAAACATATGAGAAAATTTATTTTTTCAATTACATAATTATTAAACTTTTTTTTCTCAAAACCGCTTTTATGAAAATTTAGTACAAATAATTACAGCAAGTGCAAAATATCACAGTATTCAACAAGTTTTAATAATAATGAAGAGAAAATTTTGCATATAACGTAATTATTTATGTAAAATTTTATTATCACGTGATTGACACATTGTTATCATTCTCAAAATGAGAAACTAAAATCAGAAAACGAAAGTTCAGGGACTAACATGTCAAAATCAAAGCACTTTAAAAACTGAAATTTCACTATACTCAAAGTTTAGGGACAATTTGTCAATTACCCAAGGTATGAGTTTTTTTTATCCCTACTTTTATTATTTATGACAACATGGATATATAAATAACTGTTTGTATATATATTGATGTACACCTTTAATTTTTAACAAAGATAATTACTTTATTACAAGTTGTAGTGTTGTACAGAAAATATAGTTAGACGTGTACATTTAACATGGATTTTAATCGATGACCAAATCCTTAATCCACGGGTGATCGAATATGTAGTAAATCACATATTTTTTAAAAGACATCAAGTTTTGAATATGCTCTCAACGAAGATAGACAGATATACAGCGGATACCAGTTTTGCTTTCTTTCTTTCTTTGTTTTTTTTTTTTTTTAAAATTGTGTCGCAGTTATACATTAAGGCCCTGTTTTTTTCGCTGATTCGAGTTTTGCTACAGTAAAAAGCTCTTAGAAATAATCACATCTAATTTTTTTGTTACAGTAAAAAGCTCTCACACAACATTACATCTTAACTCGAATTAGCGAACCGAACAGGCCCTAAACAATATAGATTGGAAGGGCTTGCTTTTTTTTTTGTGTGCTTAAAATAGAGAAGCGTTTACCTCTTTCTTTTTCATTTATTATTTTCATTATTTTCATTATTGTTATTATTATTAACAATAATACTTGGAAAATTCTTTGCGAAATGGCTTGCACGCCACCAGCAACGCATGTGCTCTGCTCAACATGTAGCGCATATTTAAGGGATAAAGAGTCAAAGTGTACATTATCCAGTTTAAATAAAAATAGTGTACATTTTCCAAACGTCCTTATTAATAAAAATTTATTTAGTTGGTTTAAATACATTATTTACTGGTAAATAAATTTATTTACGACTAGTATTTACTAATAAATTAATATATTAGCACCAGATAAATAAATATTTACTAATAAATATGCTATTTATTTCATAAAAATTGTCCATGTTATGTTTTAGTAAGAATCCTTATTCTAATATTTTTTTTTAAAATAAAACTTTATTAAAAATAAAGAAGAGAAAAAGTATAACAAAACGAAAACAATGAAAAACTAAATTATAAATACACTACACAAAAACAAAAGCAAGCAAAACAAAATTAAACAATAATAATAAAAAAAAAGAAACCTAGGAGAAAAATCTAAGAATTTCTCATTTTAAGAACCTTCCCTATACGAGCTTTAAGTTGGTTATAAGATGACTTTTCCTTCTCCTAATTATTATTCAATTATTTTTCTTTTCTGAAAATATTAAAATCTGCCAATTTTTACGCATAAA